AGAGCCCCCCAGACCCCCCCTTCGTGTGCTCCCAGGTTTGGGTTAGGGTTAGACCCCCCCTGGTACAAATCCTGTACACGCCCCTGTTAACGTGTTTTCGACCGTTTTCTTCGGCCGTTCTTATGCGTTCAAACCGGAGCCGGGCAGGCTGAGAGCACGTGTGCATGGTAAAATCCGGTCTATGCTATTCACTTTGCTCGCAGCACCACGCCCTGGGTTTCCCGCTATGCCAATATTAATGTACGTGCAGAGAGCGCTCGTGCGTCGGTCACCGTTGACTGGCAAGAGAATTTTCTTCGGCCGTTCTTATACGTTCAAACTATAGTCGCGGGCGGGGGCGGGACGGCACGTGTGCATGGTAAAATCTTATCTACATGCTTCACTTTGCTCGCAGCATCGCGCAACGTTTCCCAGCTATGCTAATGTACAGGGAAATGGCGCTCCGACGTCGCTCGCCGTTGACTAACAAAATAATTTTCCTTGGCCGTTCTGGTTCAAACCGGTGCCGGGCAGGCTGATAGCACGTGTGCTTGGTAAAATCCGGTCTATAATATTCACTTTGCTCGTCTCTATTATTCGTCTCGAGAGAAATGATCACATCCATACAACGGACACGTCTCTGTAAAAGGAAATTTTGGTCTTTCCCTTAAGTAGCGGTTATGTAGGAAAACTATCTCTCTGGTGCAGCTACTTGCCTGTAAAGCTGGTTTTCACGAATTAATTGGTAATGATTAACAAATTACGCATTAGTGCAATTATGCATTAAAAAGATGTAAAATAAATATTTGTGTAATATCAATGTTTTTGAAAGCCAATGCCACTAGATGGCGCTACGAGGTCAAAATTCACGGGTGTTGCTATCCTCGGGCCCCTGATCTCTATAATATATCATAGAGATATATATCATAGAGATATATTATAGAGATCAGTGCCTCGGGCGTGGAGGGAGGGTCACGTGATACGGCTCGCTAATACAATATGGTGGCAGACCATGTGCGCCACGTGGCGCAGTGGGTCTCACTAGAATCCGTGCGACATAATATGTATTATTTTGTAGATCATGTTGATTACACTAAAAAGGGCGAGAAAGAGAGAGCGCGCGAAAGAAACAGAGAAAGAAAAAGATGCGTGATAATGACAATGAAATGACAATAACGGACTATACATACATTGTATATATAGTGATATTGTATATCACGCACGGACGGAAAGAGATGGAGAGACGGTCGACACGAAAAGAAAGTTACAAGTCCGTGGCAGTCCGGGCAATAACACACTATATAAACACATTGTGGACTGCTCCTGACAACGACTACATAATCTTGAGCGTATATATTTATTACGTTCTTAGTGCGTGCATTCTATTGAAATTATCACGAGGGTGGCAGCCGCGCGCAATACAACAGCGAGCATTTTTAGCCGAATGATATAATAATATCAAGAGCTAATAATACCTTATTATTAGCTATTGATTATTAGGTATTATTAGCTCTTGATAATATATATATTGATGCAAGACATATATATATATATGTGTGTGTGTGCGCGCGCGTGTGTGTGTGTGTGCGTGCGTGCGTGCGTGCGTGCGTGCGTGCGTGCGTTTATATAAGGAGGAATTCGCGCAGCTAGCACCACGAGGACGTCGAACGAACGACCTACCGTAGAATTACACTCATCCTTCCCCGGAACGTAGATCTCATACTTCTCGTCGTCGTCCTCCTCCTCGTCGTCGTCGTCGTCGTCTTCCGGGTCGTATATCTCTCCCTGGATGATGCGGACGCTTCCCTCCTGCACACGCCGCTCCACGATGCGAGTGCGCACGCGCTCGCTGAGTCGTGTGCGCGGCACCGCCTGCGTTCCACCGTCGCCTCCGCGGCGCCCTCTGGCGGCAACCTCTTCCTCCTCGTCGCACGATACGTCTGCAGAGGAAACCACGTGCTGTTAGACAGCAAGCGAAGCCTCCATGCATGTGCGTGCGAAGTTTCACCACGGCAATCGATCCTGATAACTCGATATCAATTAGAATTCACGCCCAGATACCAAACACACGCAAGCGCGACGTAAAGAGTAGATAGGAATAACGTGTAACGAATTTTGGAATTGTTACATTTAAATGTTCACATTCCCAATGCATGCCATGAATATTAGTTTGTTGTTTGTTGTTTGTTGATGGATGAAGGGCTTTGATGTTAAACCACTCAATAAGCTATTCATCTCCAAATTCAGTTTCAGCAGGCACTCTAGGGAAATCACACACACCAGTTAATTGTCAACATACCACAAATGTTACACGCTCGATTTGGGTTGCTAGTACATTACGGCTTTCACACAGCCCGTCACAACTTAGCTTGGAAAATTCAGAACCGAGTAAATGCCAACACCCAAGCAAACACTATAGATGCATTGCTCTGCTGCTTTCCATCTTCCAACTCTTCTCTGTAGATCTGGCATTAGGACTGCATTTTCTTAAGGTCATACTGTATTCACATATTACTTTCATTTTTCTCGAAAGGAACTGATATTTCCACAAAAAATGTTTACTGATGACTGGAAAACAATGTCATCAGAGAAGCACTGTAAACAATGTGATATGGAGTGCTGTGCTTTGCCTATTCATCACAAATTGTGCTAAATCCTAATGAAGCCAAATCTCAAGGAAAGAGGTGACAGCAGCATTGGCATAATTCTACCCTGTAGGGGGAGGAGGACGTTTTCGGAAGCACTGTCATCGATAAATCCCTGAGCTAATCGGGTCACCTCATTTAGCTCATCTAAAAACAGTGCCAAAAACGTTTCAAACAGATGAGCGATCTAAAAGTCGACTAGTAAAGTCAAAAACAGAAAAACGTTCACAGCAATCAATCTCAAATGACATTGATCACGAAATAAATGGCTTACTACGTAACTAAATACTTTTCAAAAGAGATTATATCTGACCATCTGACCATAGCCAACACAACGTTACATGAACCAACAAAGAAGCCTTCAGACAAACATCTACCACATTTCTACGAACATCATTAAACAACCTACACACAGGTAATAGACTCAGAATTGCATCACATGCCAACTTTATCCTCACGTTGCAAGGAATTGCAGCATTTCACAACACTAACCTTCCCGGCGGCCCGCGTCAAGACAGTCACCGCAAAACCACTCGTCTAGAGGAACTGTAGCAAGCGGAGGATCCAGACACTCCAAATGGTACCTGTTACAGAGAAGCATACCAGGTAACAAGTACTGATTACAAGCCCCACGCAAAACCTACGCCGTAAAGCGTTTAAAATTTCCACGTACACAACACATGTATGCTCACTGAATCTACACTCGCTCGAAACACAACAACAATGCCGGTAATGATTCCAATCAAAAAGGCGATTAAAATCCAATGGAAGAACTGCATAGCGATGAAGACTGGGTATCTGATTCTGAGATGATGGGGGAAGCGTTGTTCATACCCTAGGTCACAGCCGTCACAGAGTAGGAGTCGATCTTCCCGGTCACACCGACCGCACAACTCGCAGTAGGTTGGATCTTCATCCTCCTCCGGATCTGCTGCCTGCCTGTCTTTGACAGTGATCTATCAGAAGGCAAGGGAGACAGAGATAATTAGACAGTGTACAATTACAGTGACCAGCATATATTATTGCAATTATGTCCAGTGAATAAAGCTAACTATATCCAGTGAATCAAGCTATGCAGTTAATCTCAAACACGTGCCTTTGAGAGCAAATTGACTAACATAGGGGTTTTTGATGTGATCAGTAATCGAGACTGACTATCGTTGACTCAAAGAAATTGCGTAGTCGTGGTGCTGGTGATGGTGGTAGTTGTCGTCATGTGGTGGTGTTGGTCGTGGTGGTGACAGCAACAACACAGGTGACAGTAAGAAGCTTACTACGTAACTGTAACCCGACGTTCTGAACACTAACCACTGCTTTCTCACCTTCTTAAATATAGGTCCATTCAAGCTGTGTCTTGCAAATATCAGATGAAAAACTTGTCTGTCTACTGGACAAGTGTTCAGATTCTGCAGAAAAACAAGCACAAGAATCAGCAAAGATTTCAACAAAAACTGCAGCAATTCATATTACAAGCATCACGCACGGACATACACTTCTCTAGTTATCAGTCACTGCGGAAACTGAAACGCGCATCACTCATCAAAGCACCACCTACCTTGGACCATTCCTCGATGCATTCCAAGCAGAAACGGTGATCACAAGACTATGGGTGTCACTTATCAAGGCACCACCTACCTTGGACCACTCCTCGATGCATTCCAAGCAGAAACTGTGATCACACGATTCGGGTGTGCCGATGTCTTGTGAGCGAAACCGGCGCAGGCACACAGGACACCGGTCAACCTCCTCACCACCGCTCTCGCTCTCGCTGCTACCCTCCGACATCACCCAGGGTTTCTTGGCATTATGCGGCGTCGTGACGGTGTCCGCTTCTTCCTTTTCCGAACCATTACCCGATTCTTCACCTTCATCTGAATTGAACAAAATTGAAAAAATGCCAATTATTAAAGGATGACACCACTCTAGCTGTTGGTAGATGTGATAGTGAAAGATGAAATCTTGCAATTCTTTAGTGCCAGCAATCTCATTCTGAGGCACTGAAAGGCTGTATGGTAGAGCAAATTATATGTATATATCATTGTTGTTGTTTTTAATTTAATCGACAACTAATGAATGACTGATACCTTCGTCGTCGTCCTCAATTTCATCTTCTTCTTCGCTTCCACTCTCTGCTTCCTCGTCCTCAGAGTTATCACTAGACTCTTCCTCAGTTTCAGGTCCTTTATCTTTGTCTTCTGCTCGATCACCTCCCACGTCAGGAGGTGATTCTGTTTGACCGTCCTCTCCTGCATCCTCGCATTCATCGTCAGAGTCGCTCTCTATCACTCGGCATCTTTTTTTGTGTGCCAAGTGGTTGTCCGAACTCATCTTGCTCACAATATGGACTGCATCAAATTCGGCCCATCCGAATTACACTCCAATCGAAGAGGATTGGTATCGCGGCTTTGATACGAAGCACCGAGAGTGTGCACCTTTAATTAATGCCTGAAAGAAAACATCCAGTCAGCTACCGCATCTCATGGCAAAACATAACGGTGCAGCACCTTTTATTGTTTATTATTTCGGGACAATTACTCAACTCTGCGCTAAATGATTGTTATCGAACTCCGCGTGAGAGATGTGATGAACATCTCTCTGAACATTTGAGATGTTCATCATTCAACAGTTGAATCATGAATGAAACCACACACTAGGCATGAATGAAATATTTATTACACCTGTTTCTTATGTGGTTACCTTCTAACTTCCAATCACAGTTTTACATGTTTTGTGGGGCTAGGGTTAACATTTAGGGTTATATTTTCTCTTCTCCCCCTCCCCTTCTGCTGATTTATGGCTTGTAAAATGATTGCCTATCAGTATAAAAACTTCTAGAAATTAGGCTGTATGACAACAAAATTCTACTGCCTGATGCTGAACATCTTGCAGCTGATAATAATAGTACTGGAGAGTCCAATCTAGGACTCTTTAACCATAAGCCTAAGAACAGGGCCAGCTTCCTTGAGGAATGGATTTCTGCCATCTTACTTAATACTCCTGTGTAAATAAGTCAGTGTATGCACCTATTATTAGTCAAGCCCCAGAGCCCCTAGCTCTACTCGTCAAGCCCTTTGCTTCTGCTACAAGACTATAGAGGGTTCCACGACTTGCACTAAAAATAGCAATATTACCTACAATCCCGTGCCGCCGGCCATACTGGTTCCCAGAATTGCGAACACATGTTACCGATATGCGCAATCTACCGATTTTACATCGATAGATTGTACATACGATAGTGTTATTATAGTAATCTATATTAGCAGTAAGTGAATCCCGGTTTTGCTGACAGGTTTACCAGCGCGTGTTGGGGTGCTAGAGTTCGATATGATTGTGCAGACCCAGTTTTGCAAAGTGTTGCAGGCAGGTTTATCAGCGTGGGTTGGGGTGCTAGTCTGCTAGAGTTCAATGGGATTACACAGGTCCGGTTTTGCATGCAGGTTTATTAGCGTGGGTTGGGATGCTAGAGATCGATGAGGTTGCCGCAGAGTCGGTGGATTGCTAGATTGAGCAGATCGGGAGATTGCACGCAACACATATCATGGACTTGAGTTTGTTTAAATCGCGAGTGTTCAGAAATTCCACCGATTTTTACTGCATATAGCTATCAAACGCAGCTTTTTATAATATCTGGTGTATGCACATTTGCCAACTGTCTGAAGTGTACATAGTATGGACAAGTACTTTGATTCACTAGACAACGTAGCCAAAGCACGCTATCTCGAGAAAATTGCGTGCATTGGGAATCAACACCCGTACGAGAATGGAGTGAGGAACAAAACTTGTGCCCATCACGTACTTATTAGAATCTCGTGAATTGACTACCTAACACTCTAGCCGAGTCCATTTTATACTCTCAAGGACTTTCAGAACTACAAAAACCTGGATGCCTACGATCGACTGTTCTGCGGTTGGGTTAGTGGTGTATCAGTCTACATTTATTATGTGAACAGTGAGAGTTCCATCAACGTTATCCGAGCATGTGTTATGCACTCCCAGTCTCTGATTATACAATCTCTCTATCCGTGCATGGGTCACGATGAGAGAATATGGGACAGGCATCATGTCAGCACATTGTAATTGTAAAGCCGGGCTTGGTGAATTCTGTTCACATGTTGCCTCGGTGCCATTTTATGTAGAGTATGCTGCACGTGCAAGAGAAATCACCACCCCCACTCAAACAGCTGCCTACTGGATGCCGGCGATATATGTATATAAGTGTAAATGTGTAGCAGCGTGCGCCGTGCGTGCGGTGTTACGCTGGTGTACCTGTGTGTTGCAGAGGGGCATTTGACCGGCATGTTTACAGGTAATTATCGGCAATACTAGGCAAAAGAAAGTAGAGAAACATTAAGACATTGGTAGTAAATACATTTCGTGTTTATTCAGCATTGCTTTTTTATTGAAAATGCCCCAAGCGTCTGTGGTCCGCCTTGTCTCTCGTCACTTTACTTTGTGTTGTGATCACGTTAGGCAGCCTAAAAAAGCTGTGTGGCTCTCTCTGATACCGATTGCTGAAGTTGACAACAGCGCAGGAGAGCGTCGTTGTGATGGATTTGCTTAATAGGCGAATAAAATGAGCAGAGAACAGTGTGTTGCTCAATGTACTTGTACCATGCCTGAACTGGTTTCTGGAACCGTCATGGCCGGCGGCATTGCATTGTGGATAATTTGAAAATTCGCGGAACCCTCTATACTAACCTCAGGGAAGGAATACGACAGTGAATCCTTGCAGCATGACAGACTGACTAGACTGCTTACTAGCGCTGAGAAGGTCTATGTCCCCCAGGGTACTATCGGAGGGTAGCACCCTGGGTACGGTTTAGACAAGGTCAGTGACATAAGACAAGGTACCCACCTGCTGCTGGCGGCGGCGGCGGCGCGGCCGGCAGTTCGGCCGCTGCTTGAGGTGGCGGGACTTGAGCGTGACGCGCTCGACCTTCGCGACCCCAGCCTCAATGTCGATCACCTCGATCAGCTGCTCAATGTCGACGAGGCACACTGAGTTGCCGCTGCTCTCTGCGTCCGACGCAGGCGCCCCCTGGTTGTCGCCCACTGAACCGACGACAGACGGCGATCGTCCGCGTGACGAGTGTCCCGCGTCGTCGCTGTTCGTTGCGTTGCCGTCGGCGACGGCGTCTTCTTCCCCGCTGCTGGCCGGTTCCCTCGCAGCATCGTCGCCGTGGCTACCGTCGCCATCTCCATCGTCGTGTGATTCGTTCGCCTCTTCGTCGGCCTGGTCGTCGTCGTTGCCCTCCGCAGCTTCTTCTTCCTCCTCCTCGTCTTGCTCTTCTCCCTCTTCGTGTTCGTTTGCTTCATCTTCGTCTCCGTCTTCGTTGGCCTCCTCCTCTTGCATCTCGCACGCCTCTTCGCCGTCTTCTGCTGTATTGCTTTCATTTTGTTCGTCATCTGCGCCTCCTTCCTCTTGAGCTCTAGTTACCTCTTCTTCTTCTTCATCGTCTTCTTCTTCTTCTTCTTCATCGTCTTCTTCTTGGCCGTTTTCGTGTGCGGCATCTTCCGATTCTTCGCTGACCGGATCAGCTTCGTTATCGTCTGCCACTTCCCCGTCCTCCACCTCATCGTCATCCTCGTCCGCCTCTCCCTCACTAGCTGCCTCGCCTTCTTCTCTTTCCTCTTCTGCTGGCTCTTCCTCATCACCCTCCCGGTCCTCTTCCCGCTCGTCCTCCTCCTCCTCTCCGGCGGCTGGGGTTGCTTGCCCATCCTTCACTTCCCCATCCTCCGCTCCACCTTCCACCACTCCATCCTCTGCTCCACCTTCCTCTGCTTCCCCATCCTCCACTTCCCCATCCTCCGCTCCATCCTCCTCTGCTTCCCCATCCTCTGCTCCACCTTCCTCCGCTTCCCCATCCTCCACCGCTCCACCTTCCTCCACTTCCCCATCCTCCGCTCCATCCTCCTCATTACCGTTCGCAGCATCGTCGTCGCCGTTGCTCTCGTTCGCTCCCTCGGCGTCACTGCCATGCTCCGAAGCATCTCCCCTGGCACCGTCACCATCACCACCGCTCCCCGATCGATCGTCTCCGTCGTCCCCACCGCCGAAGTCCATCGACTCTGCTTCGGACACGGCCTCAAACCCGCACTCGTCGAGCGCCGCCGCCGCCGTCGCCGTCGCTGAATCCCCGGACGCGCAGTTCGTCGGCGCACTCGTGGCGCCCTCTTGCGGTGAGATGACCGCGTTCCCCGCAGCGCCGTTTCCCTGCGCACAACAGCCGCTCTTCACCGGAGCGTCGCCGGCGTCCGAGTCGCCGTCGCCGCGCATCATCGCGTACACGAGTTCGGTGCGCGCGCGGCGAGGCACGTTCCGCCGCGGATCGTAGATCAGCTCCTTCAGCAGCGGCGTGCACACGTCATCGTCGCCCACCGTCTTCTGCTCGACGCGCTCTGGCCGCGTGGGAGACGTCGCCACGCCAACGCGCTCTGGCCGCGCGGCGCCGACCCGCTCGTCTCCCGTCGCTGACGACGACGACGACGACTTGTCGAGGGTTCTCGCCGTGCGCGCCTTCTCGGACACGCGGCTGGCACGCGACTGCAGTTTCACGGCAGACAGCGACGTCGGCTTTATCGAGCCGTCGCGCGTGATCCGCACGTCCGCCGACTTCAACTGCAGCAGGCTCTGTTCGGCAAGGATCGAGCCTAGCACGTCGAGCGACGACGAAGAGGGTGCCGGTTCCGTGACGACGGGCGGCGTTCGCTTTGTCGGGTTCTGTAGCGCCAGTTTCGCCTTCTTTCGGATCGCCGGCGTCAACCTGAAGACACAAGAACGTCTGCGATGAGTCGCGAGCTCGAGATGCCGATGCTACACAGATGACGAGAGCTTCCGAACTCGGCGGATCGGGTTAAGCGTTACAAGATAATCGCGAGACATACCTTTTCTCACCGGACGAAGATTTAGTGAACTGTCGTGAAGCGCTAGGCCCGGCTGCGCTGTCCGAATCCCTGCACGAAAAACACGCAGATGAGTTAACGAATGCTACTAACCGACTAGCACTCGTTAAAGTGCACTAAAGTAAACTAATATAAACTAGTAAAGTACTAGTAAAAGTTATTTGCACGCAAGCCCCCCCCGCCATGAATTAACGTGGTTCGTTCACTGACACGTCGCGGCGAACAACAGTTTCTGAGAAAACCGGATGAGCGCAAGAATGCCAGCAACTCGTCGTGCTGGCGACGAAATCCGACAGGATGAGATACGACCGGCATATCTGCCAGGATGAGATACGACCAATATATCTGCCAGGATGAGATACGACCGACAAAATCTGCCAGGATGAGATACGACCGACATATCTGCCAGGATGAGATACGACCGACATATCTGCCAGGATGAGATACCACCGACAAAATCGTGAAGAGGCGGCGATCCATGTACCAGTGGTCGGAGAATCTGAGCTCGTCTCTCTTGCCGAGAAAAACCAACGAGCGCGAGAGTGCAGCCTGGGCAACTCTACACGCTGGCAAAGAAAACTGCCAGGATAGCAATCAGGATAAAGTCCGCGCAGAGTACAAGATACCAAGCACATACCAGTGATTGGAGAAGCCAAGCCCGTCTCTCTTGCCGAGGATGTGGACCAGTGGTCAGAGACACTACGTACCAGTCATCGGAGAAGCCGAGCTCGTCTCTCTTGCCGAGGATGTGGACCAGTGGTCAGAGACACTACGTACCAGTGATCGGAGAAGCCGAGCTCGTCTCTCTTGCCGAGGATGTGGACCAGTGGTCAGAGACACTACGTACCAGTGATCGGAGAAGCCGAGCTCGTCTCTCGTCTCTCTTGCCGAAGGAATGTGGAGGGGTTCGACTAGCCGATGTCGCCCCTGGTTGTGCGAGCGTGCGGCGACGCGGACGACCACCATCGGGATGCCTGCCGGCCGGCCGGGGCTTCGGCGAGACGCCAGTCCTGCTGGACTGCGATGCGCCTCTTCACCGTGTTGACGCGCAATGCGCCAGCGTTCTCCTTGTCAACCTGGTGAAATATTGAACGATGTATTGTCAACTCTTCGTCAATCATTGTCAACCTGACAAAAACAGAAATGGTGACTGTCAAATCCTCGTCCAGCCTGCGCTAAACAGTAGCGGCATGTGTCAAGTCCTGTCAATACATGCTAATACAGAACAAGAAGAAATTTTACTCACACCTTACCTCGCTTGACCAGTTCCTTTTCCTGACCGCCGCCTGCTTCGGTTTTTCTTCTCGCGCTGATCCTAGCAGTCGACGTCGACGACGACTTCGCGAGATGACTGTGTCTTCTTCTTACGTAGTTCTCTTCCTACCTCCTCCGTCGTCTACGTTTTTTCGTCGTTTTGGCGCATTGCGGCCGGTCCGCCGCTTCTCTTCCGCGCGTAGCTTCGGTTTGGTTTTTGCGTTTGCGACAGCTGATATGCCTAGCAGAGGTCGACGCTCGGCTGCGTCAAAAACAAAAGAACAACACGTGCGTTAGGCAGTTTTTGCATCTTCTTCCGGCATTCGCATCCAACATCCTTTAAAACATTCCTAGAAAAAAAGGAATAAAATAAATAATAAAATTAAATTTAAAAAAAAAGAATTTAATAATAAAAAATAAAAAATTGTTAAAAATTAAAATTAATTTTTTTTATCTAATTAATATCATTATATAAGGAGGAATTCGCGCAGCTAGCACCACGAGGACGTCGAACGAAGACCTACCGTAGAATTAACACTCATCCTTCCCCGAAACGTAGATCTCAATACTTCTCGTCGTCCTCCTCCTCGTTCCTCGTCGTCGTCGTCGTCTTCCGGTCGTATATCTCTCCCTGGACGATGCGGACGCTTCCCTCCTGCACACGCCCGCGTAGCTGCACGATGCGAGTGCGAACGCGCTCGCTGAGTCGTGTGCGCGGCACCCGCTGCGTTCCACCGTCGCCTGCGGCGCCTCTGCGCGCAACCTCTTCCTCCTCGTCGCACGATACGTCTGCAGAGGAAACCACGTGCTGTTAGACAGCAGCGAAGCCTCCATGCATGTGCGTGCGAAGTTTCACCACGGCAATCGATCCTGATAACTCGATATCAATTAGATTTCACGCCCAGAATACCAAACAACACGCAAGCGCGACGTAAGAGTAGATAGGACTAACTGTGTAAACGAATTTTGGAATTGTTACATTTAAATGTTCACATTCCCAATGCATGCCATGAATATTAGTGTTGTGTTTGTTGTTTGTTGATGCATGAAGGGCTTTGATGTTAACCACTCAATATAGCTATTCATCTCCAAATTCAGTTTCAGGCCAGACACTACGTAGGGAAATCACACACAGCAACCAGTTAATTGTGCAACATACCACAAATGTTACACGCTCGATTTGGGCTTGCTAGTATTACGGCTTTCACACTGCCCGTCACAACTTAGCTTGGAAAATTCAGAACCGAGTAAATGCCAACACCCAAGCAAACACTATAGATGCATTGCTCTGCTGCTTTCCATCTTCCAACTCTTCTCTGTAAGATCTGGCCATTAGGACTTGCATTTTCTAAGGTCATACTGTATTCACATATTACTTTCATTTTTTCTCGAAAGGAACTGATATTCTGCACAAAAAATGTTTACTGATGACTGGAAAACAATGTCATCGAGACAAGCACTGTAACAATGTGATATGGAGTGCTATGCTTTGCATTTCATCACAAATTGTGCTAAATCCTAATGAGCCAAATCTCAGGAAAGAGGTGACAGCAGCATTGGCATAATTCTACCCTGTAGGGGGAGGAGGACGTTTTCGAAGCACTGTCATCGATAAATCCCTGAGCTAAATCGTCACTCGTTTAGCTCGTCTAAAAACAGTGCCAAAAACTTTTCAAAACAGATGAGCGATCTGAAAGTCGACTAGTAAAGTCAAAAACAGAAAAACGTTCACAGCAATCAATCTCAGATGACATTGATCACGAAATAAATAGCTTACTAACGTAACTAAATTACTTTTCAAAAGAGATTATATCTGACCATCTGACCATAGCCAACACAACGTTACATGAACCAACAAAGAGCCTTCAGACAAACATCTACCACATTTTACGAACATCATAAACAACCTACACACAGGTAATAGAACTCAGAATTGCATCACATGCCAACTTTCTCCTCGCGTTGCAAGGAATTGCAGCATTTCACACACTAACCTTCCGGCGGCCCGCGTCAAGACAGTCACCCAACAAAACCACTCGTCTAGAAGGAACTGTAGCAAGCGGGAGGATCCAGACACTCCAAATGGTAGCTGTTACAGAGAAGCATACCAGGTAACAAGTACTGATTACAAGCCCACGCAAAAAACCTACGCCGTAAAGCGTTTAAAATTTCCACGTACACAACACATGTATGCCCACTGAATCTACACCGCTCGAAACAACAACAACAATGCCGTATATGATTCGAATCAAAGGCGATTAAAATCCAATGGAAGAACTGCATAGCGATGAAGACTGGGTATCTGATTCTGAATGAATGGGGAAGCGTTGTCATACCCTAGGTCACAGCCGTCAGCAGAGTAGGAGTCGATCTTCCCGGTCACACCGACGCGCACAACTCGCAGTAGGTTGGATCTTCAATCCTCCTCCGGATCTGCTCCTGCCTGTCTTTGACAGTGATCTATCAGAAGTCAAGGGAGAAAGAGATAATTAGACAGTGTACAATTACCAGTGACCAGCAGTCATAATTATTGCAATTATGTCGCAGTGAATAAAGCTAACTATATCATGTGAATCAAGCTATGCAGTTAATCTCTAAAGCACGTGCCTTTGAGAGCAAATTGACTAACAATAGGGGTTTTTGATGTGATCAGTAATCGAGACTGACTATCGTTGACTCAAAGAAATTGCGTAGTCGTGGTGCTGGTGATGGTGGTAGTTGTCGTCATGTGGTGGTGTTGGTCGTGTGGTGACAGCAACAACAACAGGTGACAGTAAGAAGCTTACTACGTAACTGTAACCCAACGTTCTGACACTAACCACTGCTTTGCTCACCTTCTGAAATATAGGTCCATTCAAAGCTGTGTCTTGCAAATATCAGATGAAAAACTTGTCTGTCTACTGGACAAGTGTTCAGATTCTGTAGAAAAACAAGCGCAAGAATCAGCAAAGATTTCAAAAAACTGCAGCGATTCATATTACAAGCATCACACACGGACATACACTACTTCTAGTTATCAGTCACTGGCGGAACTCTGAAACGCGCATGCACTCACTCAAAGCACCACCTAACCTTGACCATTCCTCGATGCATTCGAAGGCAGAAACGTGATCAACAAGACATATGGTGTCCCACTTATCAAGGCACCACCTACCTTGACCACTCCTCGATGCATTCCAAGCAGAAAGCTGTGATCACACGATTCGGTGTGCCGATGTCTTGAGAGCGAACGCGCGCCAGCAGCAACAGGACACCGGTCAACCTCTCACCACCCGCTCGCTCTCGCTGCTACCTCCGACATCACCACAGGGTTTCTTGCATTATGCGGCGTCGTGACGGTGTCCGCTTCTTCTTTTCCGAACCATTACCCGATCTTAACCTTCATCTGAATTGAATACAAAATTAAAAAATGCCAATTATTAAAGGATGAACACACTCTAGCTGTTTGGTAGATGTGATAGTGAAAGATGAAATCTTGCATTCTTAGTGCCAGCAATCTCATTCTGAGGCACTGAAAGGCTGTATGGTAGAGCAAATTATATTGTATATATCATTGTTGTTGTTTTTAATTTAATCGACAACTAATGAATGACTGATACCTTCGTCGTCGTCCTCAATGTCATCTTCTTCTTCGCTTCCACTCTCTGCTTCCTCGTCCTCAGAGTTCTCACTAGACTCTTCCTCAGTTTCAGGTCCTTTATCTTTGTCTTCTGCTCGATCACCTCCCACGTCAGGAGGTGATCTCTGTTTGACCGTCCTCTCCTGCATCCTGCGCATTCATCGTCGCAGTCGCTCTCTATCACTCGGCATCTTTTTTGTGTGCCAAGTGGTTGTCCGAACTCATCTTGCTCACAATATGGACTGCATCAAATTCGGCCCATCCGATTACACTCCAATCGAAGAGGAATTGGTATCGCGGCTTTGATACGAAGCACCGAGAGTGTGCACCTTTAAATTAATGCCTGAAAGAAAACATCCAGTTAGCTACCGCCATCTCATGGCAAAAACATAACGGTGCAGCACTTTTATTGTTTATTATTTGGGGACGATTACTCAACTCTGCGCTCAGGCGATTTTTTTATCGAACTCCGCGTGAGAGATGTGATAAACATCTCTCTGAACATTTGAGATGTTCATCATTCAACAGTTGAATCATGAATGAAACCACACACTAGGATGAATGAAATATTTATTATACACCCGTTTCTATATGTGGTTACCTTCTAACTTCCAATCACATTTGTTTACATGTTTTGTGGCTAGGGTTAACATTTAAGCGGTTATATTTTCTCTTTCTCCCCCCTCCCCTTTCTGCCGATTTATGGCTTGTAAAAATGATTGCCTATCAGTATAAAAACTTCTAGAAATTAGGGCCTGTGACAACAAAATTCTACTGGGCCTGATGCTGAACATCTATCAGCTATACTAATAGTACTGGAGAGTCCAATCTAGACTCTTCAACCATAAGCCTAAGAACAGGGCCAGCTTCCTTAAGGAATGGATTTCTGCCATCTTTATTAATACTCCTGTGTAGATAAGTCATTGTATGCACCTATTATCAGTCACCCAGAGCCCTAAGCTCTACTCGGTCAAGCCCTTTGCTTCTGCTACAAGGCTATAGAGCGGTTCCACGACTTGCACTAAAAATAGGCAATATTACCTACAATCCGTGCGGCCGCGGCCATAACTGGTTCGCAGAATTGCGAACACAT